TGTTTTGAGAATGATGTACAAATACGCTTTACACAATTGATGTGTGTATGGATTGCGATAACAGTTGTATGAGCCCCTAATAAAATGCTTAAAAAAAAAAAACTATGGCCATCAAGTCAATTCCCACCCACGTGTGTCCAAGTAGAACTGGGCTCCATTGGGTTTTCAATAACTGCGTTCTTAGAAGTGATGCTAAGCCTTTCAATCTCTGGGTGGGCTTGAATCATCACTCTTTTGCTTAGCAGCCCACTGGTAACCTTTGTTACCACCCAGGTCCTCCTCAAATTGACCACTCCCACTCCCACCCCCGTACCCACCCCCACACACACACCAAGTAACACAAAAATAAAAACTAAATTCTGTCAATCAGCAAGAAAAAGGATTGTAATATCTGATAGAAAAATGGGTAAAAGGTATGAACATGCAACTCTCAGGGAAAGCCCAGATGTCTAACAAGGATATAATGAATCGCACATAACTAGTGATCACCAAAGTAAATGTCTAAATATTAACTGGAGACCATGTTGCCCATTAGAAGGGCAAAAGTTAGAGTGAAAGATGATATTAAATGTTGGGAAAAACGTGAAAGAAACATAGCTGTACTGGGGCAATTATGTCTGTAAATGTCCTAGGATTTGGAATTTGACTTCTGCTTATATATCTGAGGGATGCTCACCCCCAGATCAGAAAAGAACAGGCACTTAAATAGCCTTGACATTTTTTTTTATGATGTGGAAATTGGGGACAGTAACTATCATTAACAAACTAGGTAATTCAAATGAGATGGAGGCATACTATAAAAATATTTCGCAACTTCCTGAAACAATAGTTTCAGTGGTCTCATAGGCACAGAAAGGCAGGATGGTGCATAAGGAACACTGGAGAACAAGGGATTCATTTGAATTACAGTGTTGCCCAAGAACGTGTAAAGTACCGGAGGCACAGGAAATCTCTCTTGGAAAAAGAACAGTCAGAATGCTGCCCAGAAACAAGGATCTCCCTGCCATCCAGTCAATGCTAACCCCTGTGGGGTTTCTGGCTCATAGCGACTCCCTGAGGATTTCCCAGACTGGAACTGTTTATGGGAGTAGATGGTCCAGTGTTTCTCCCAGAATAGGTGGGAAATGGGAATTACAAGAGAAACATGGTTTGGGGTGTCCTAATGATTCTGTACTACAAGGAGTAGACCTCAGTCTGAATCTGACTTAAACACACACTTTTATACACACATACACATACAGTCTGTGTCTCCTGAATTCTTTCAGCGCACCATTTCAGTAAATCCTATCTGCACTGGGCACACTGGCGTAAAACTGTCTATGATCTTGCTGTTGGCTGCTGGCCATTCCAACTCACGGAGCCCCCCATAGCTACAGCAGAACGTCTTCAATGCTGTGACCCTTCAGAAGAATATTGGCAAGTCTGTCTTCCAAGGTGCTTTTGAGGTAGGTTTGGACAGCCAGCCTTTGGGGAGTAGCCATTTATGCCACCCAAATTTTACTATTATTATTACACTCAGGATTCTCAACGAGGCGATGTTGCCCCACTCTCATCCCCAGGAAACATTTGGCAATAACTGGAGACATTTTAGAAGTATTGGTGGGGTCGTGGTTATACCTTTGGGCGGCTAACCGCAAGGTCAGCAGTTCAAAACCCACCAGTTAATCCACAAAAGAAAGATGGGGCTTTCTACTCCCATAGTTCCAGTCTGGGAAGGTCGCAGGGGCAGTTCTACCCTATCCTATAGGGTAGCTAAGAGTCAGAATTGACTGGATGGCAGGGAGTTTGGTTTTGCTCTGCAGGCATTTTTGATGCTCTCTACTCGGGACCTTGAGGCGGGGGAATATTGCTGGCATGTGGTCGGGGAGAGATCCAGGATGCTGCTAAACATTGTACAATAAGCAGGGTACCACTGGCCCCACCACATGCAAAGAAGTGTACAGTTCAAATTACCAGTGGTGCCATGGTTAGGAACCCCTTCCCTTTAGGAAGCTTTCCTGACCAACTTCATCAAGATTTCCAGGCTTACTCTCCCTGTTGTCATTGTTGTGTGCTTTCCGGTCATGTTTTACCCCCTGGGACAGAAGAGAAAACCAGGCTTGTTTGTACTGTAATCGTTATGAAAATAAATCATCATATCTTTCTCCCACAGAGCACCTGAGTGGTTCAACCACAAATGTTTCCGTTCCTGTTAGACCATCCAGACTCTCCCTACTTTCTCAGTTTCCGCCCATCTTCCTTTGCAAATGCCCGCCCCAACCCCCTTGAAGCTCAAGCAAAATCAATTCTCTTATGCCACTCTGCCTTGATCAATTGTGAATTTCCTTAAACATCTCTTCATTTGTAACTGTGCATTCAGATCACCAATGAATACATTGAGAACAAACCTTTAATAAAGAGAATATAATGAATAAAATGTCGCTCTCTTCCTTGAATAGAATTGTTCCTCTGAATCCACATGTTTTAAAATATGAAGTCCCTCCAACATGTCACTGAAGGCCTCCTCTACACCTTGGAGAATTGGGCGAGGAAAAGAAAGGCACGAACAAGTGTCCTAGAAGGGAATTAGTGCATAGACCGTTGAGAAGAATACACTGAGCCAGAACGGGGTCAGAAGTTGAGTTGGGGATGGTTGACTACTGAGGGATTTACTTGGGAGCTTCCAGAAGCCGAGGTTTGGGGCTACGGTCCCACACTGAAGGGAGGAAAGGAAAGAGAGAGGAGAGAATGAATCTTTCAGACTATTTAACTGAACTCCCAGATTCTTAAACTGTTTAACTGAACTCCCAGATTCTCAGATTGTTTAATTGAACTCCCAGATTCTCAGGGCAACAGAATGGGCCTAAGCTGTACCAGGTGGGTTTCTAGGGAAGGGAAACTTCAGCTCATGGGGATTAAGTATGGAAAATGAATCCTGTGGCGCTCCAACTTTTGTGGCCTTCATTGTTCCTTAAAGGGAGTCCATATCTGGGATTACAGGACCACGTTGGATAGTGGACAGATTTCTTAAGCACTGAGGCTTGTTTTCAGGTGCAGTAACACCTGGGAGAGCGGGAACACAGGGGGACTGCCTGCTTCTGCCCACCTGTCTGCCACAGGCCTCAGTGGTTTCTTTCTCTGACAGGTTCCCGCTTTCCCGAGTTCCAGTTTTTACAGGTTTTACTGTACTTTCCTTGAGATTTTATCCACTGCCATCAATATCCTGTCCCTGGGACATTCAGGTTTCTCTTGTGTGCCCTTGAATATAAATTATCCCCCCATGTGCATGTGGTTCCTCTTTTCAATCTACCGGTAATC